TTCCTCTTTCCTTTCCTTTTTCTTCCCTTCTCTTCCCTTTCTTTTCTATTTCTTTTCCTCTTTCCTTTCCTTTCTTTTCCTCTTTCCTTTCCTCTCCTCTCCTGTTTCCTTCCCTCTTTCCTTTCTTTTTCTTTTTCTCAGAAAAAGGTCTACTTAAACTTCCAAATTATATGTAAATCAACTATTTGGTCATTAACTTATCTAGCTACTGAATGTTTGGGACACTATTAAAATAGCAAGTTTGATATAATGTTAGACACACACCAAAACAACAAAACTTACTGAAGATCTCAGCCCTTGAGCCAGATGTTAGTTAGAATGTTTATGTTTACAAATAGTTTAAAATGCCATGCCCTCCTCATTCAGGTCTCCAGTCTCAACATGGATCTGGTAAAGCCACTACTGATGGAGAAAGGCAACTTGGAATCACACAACTTTGATTACCTACAAAGCGTGACTATCAGCAGAATAAAATCCGGGACAAAAATGAGTCACTTGCCCTAAATTGGGTATGATTAATATGTGTGGAGAATCTAATCACAAAACTAGAAACAGAAATTTACCAAAGCTTTGAGAAATACTGTAGCTGCCGAGCAACATGGAATCTGCAAGTATTCTGTTTCTTTGTGAAAAACACTCCATCAAACAAACCCACATGCCCCCCCCCCCCCGCAATCTCGAGAAACACACTGCACGTTTATTTTTTCAGCAGTCTTTTTTGTGGTCACACCAGCTCAGCCGCTCTCGGTGTCACTTGTTCAAATTGACAGATGATGACTCAGATGCAGGGGAGTGTGTGCTTGTGTTCACAGTGCAGGAAGAAGATGTGTTCATACATGAATTCTCGTGACATTCTGGGAACTAATGAAAATGTTAGACCTTGCAACGGAGGGCTAGATTCTGTTTGCAGCTCATATGATCAGTTTCCCTGGGTTGATGTCAAGTTGGGCATCCCAGAATGATGCCAATAGAGACTCATGTACCTGCAGCAGACGTCTCTCTTGGAGTCCATTTAGGCTCCCTTTTCCATCTGGTTTTTTTTTTTTTTAAACAACAGATGGTGGATGTATGATGGAAATATGTAGTCAATTTTGTAAGGTTTGAGGAATTCAAGAAATTATGTGTAAGTTGTAGGTTACATTTTATACATTGTGCGGTTGTGTATTCATTTAACAAATATTCAGAAATTAATTAGAACATAGAACATGGAATAATAGAGTTGGAAGGGACCTTGGAGGTCTTCTAGTCCAGCCCCCTTGCTCAAGCAGGAGACCCTATACCATTTCAGACAGGTGATTGTCCAGTCTATGTTTGAAAGTCTCCAGTGATGGAGCACCCATAACTTTTGAAGGCAGGTTGTTCCATTGGTTGTTTGCTCTCACTGTCAGAATTTTATTTTATTTTATTTTATTGTGGCTTGGTGGGTGTGGTGTAGCTTGGTGGGCGTGGCATAGCTTGGTAGGTGTGGCTTGGTGGGCGTGGCAGGGGAAGGTTACTGCAAAATCCACATTCCCTCCCCACCCCACTAACCTGGTTTCCAGCTCTGTTCTCCTGTGCAGGGAAACCAAAGAAGAACCAGCCGATCAGCTGGGACTCGGGAGGCAGAGAATAGATGTGGGCGGGGCCAGTCAGAGGTGGGATTTCCCAGTTCTCCGAACTACTCACAGTTTCCACTACTGGTTCTCCAGAACTGGTCAGAACCTGCTGAATGCCACCTCTGCTTGGTTCCAGCATTTCTTAGCCATCTTACAGGCCTACCAAAGATGGCAAAAGTTTTTATCGGTTGGTCTTTGAAAATATGTGATTTCCACTGAAATGAAATCCCTGTACGGGCAGTCCTTGACTTACAACAGTTCATTTAGTGACAGTTCAGAGTTACAACGGCACCAAAAAAGTGACTTATGACCTTTTTTCACGTGGACGACCGTTGCAGCATCCTGGTGGTCACATGATAAAAATTCAGGCACTTGGTGACTGACTCATATTTATGATGGTTGCAGTGTCCCGGGGTCATGTGATCAACTTTTGTGAACTTTTGATAAGCAAGCTCAATGAGAAAGCAGAGTTGCTTTAACAACGCCATTGCTAACTTAACTGCAGTGATTTACTTAACAACTCTCTTAGCAACAGAAACTTGGGGTTTGAGCCCCAGAATTCTGTATAAGCTCCCTGCCACTGATGCTTCCTTAGAGTTTTTTTTTTCCGGAGAGTAGGCTAATGACCAGATGACTGCAAAGAAATACAATCCTTTCAATGAGGAAATTCCTACAGATGAAGATATAATTGGAAAAATACTAGACTGTGTAGAAATGGATAGGTTAACATTAAAGATAAAGGACAAAGAAGACACATAATATTTTTTAACATGGGATTTGTTTTATCAATGGTTAGACAACAGAGGTAGAAATTAGAAGTTGGAAGATTATTACTAGATATAAGTGAATATTATTATTATTATTAATATGTACAAGTAAACTGACAATACACTTACTAAGCACTTATATCTTTTATGTATACTGAGAGTATTTACACCAAAACAAATTCCTTGTGTGTCCAGTCACACTTGGCCAATAAAGTATTCTATTCTATTCTATTCTATTCTATTCTATTCTATTCTATAGAAAAATGTATAAATAAAATATATTTAAAAAATACAATCCTTCTATTTCTCCCCCCATCCTATCAAAATCTGTCCTTCCATTCCCCCCGCCTTAGGAACTGATGAAGCTTCTGGGATGAGAAGCAAAATATTTTATTCTTCTTAACAAAATAAGAGTTGGAAGGAAACTTGGAGGTGTTTTAGTCCAATCCCCAGCTCAGGCAGGAAATCATTTCAGACAAATGGTTGTCAAATCTCTTGTTAAAAACCTCCAGTGTTGGAACATCCACAATTTATGGAGGCAAGTTGTTTCACTGATTAATTGTTCTGTCAAGAAATTTCTCCTTAGATCTAGGTTCCTTTTTCCTTGTTCCTTTCTTCTTCAAGGAAAAAACAGTCCAGCTGCCTTTTGAAGGAAAAAGAAAAAAAAGCACCTTTGTGACAAATATGACCTGGATGACTGAGAATATCCACAGACAAACTTCCTTAAACTCATTATTTTTCCATCCAGCACGTCTATCAGTAGCAGAAGAGAAGCAACCAAAATTCCTATCATATATTCCTACAGCTGTTATTCCTGTCCTATGGGGTTGAAGGCAAAACAGGCCTCTTTGTCATTTTTCACCTGCTTTAAAAAAAAATGAAGGTTCATAAGATCCAATATTTTACCAAAAATGTCCCTTTAGAAAGGATCAGGTGGTCCTGCAGCCCAGAAGGAAATGCGGAGAAAATATTGATCAAACAGGGACCAGATCCAATGCTCAGGAACTATTGCATACAGTAGCCATCTGAACCATAGGAATTTTCTTTCAAAGAAATGAAATGCATTAGATCAATCGCACAACACCCCTCGCTTGGACAGAAATTGGAAAATGCTACTGTTGAGGCTCATCAGTGAAAAATGGTGCAGGTGATCTTCACGATGAGCGAAGGGTGGCTTGAGGACGAGATGGTGCCTTTCTGTCCTAGGGAGACAATCAGAGGGTTACAAGGGCTGGGGACAAGCAGAATGGGGCTGCGGAGCTGGCAGCAGAGTCAGATAGTAGAGGAGGTTGGGGAGAAACATGGGCCAGAACTGGTGGCTGAGGAAGGCTCAGAGGAGGGTTCTGTGTCAGAGGCAGAGATGGGGCCAGGGCAATTTGGCAGGCATCAGCTGCCTTCGGAGTCGGACAGCAGTGAGGTGGAGGAGCAGCTGGAGCCGGTTCCCTGCATGCGCATGCGCAGAGCTGCCAAAAGAAAAGAACTATTACAAACTAAGAGTCGACGTGGGAGTAAAGCCATAGGTGGATGCTGAATGGCCCCTCCCATAAGGATTAAAAGAGAAGTGAAGGGGGAAGGGGCTTTTTCAGGAAATAATTTGTTTGTTGCAGCAGTGTGAGGATCGGTTGGTGCATCTCAGAGATTGTGCCGAGTCCTTCCCTGTCAGCACTGCGTTTGCAAATATTTACTTGGCAGCTCTCCAGGCTAGATAAGGTCTTTGCTCCTAATTACACCTTTGAAAGACTGTTTGCCAGACCTTTGGCTGAATGTGAATGCAAGAAATTCACTTTTGTTTAACAAAAGGGGTTTTGCCGGGACAAAGAGTCTGCTTAGTGCTTTTTGGGGAAACCTAAGTCAGAACAGGAATGACAAATGTTTAACAATACAGATATGGATATCTGTGCCTTGAAGTCAAAATGAAGCCCTCTCCCCAATGATAATTAGCTATATTGGCTGTCTCTCAGGGATGTCTGAGGTGGGGATGGTGTTTAGATAAAAAACAGTTAAGCTGGCAATAACGTATGGACCAGTGGTGGTATTCAACCGGTTCGCACTGGATCGGGCGAACCGGTAGCAAGAATTTGGCATGGGTCGCCGAACCAGTAGTAACTTCTGGCTGGCCATGGCCCTGATCCGGTCGCCCTCCTGCCCGATGCTCGTTTACTCACCACCTGACATGTGCCTAAGGTATTTCTTCCCCCCCCTCCCGACAATCAGCTGTTCATACGATCAGCTGTGCCAGGATTCCCCTTGCTGAGGCCCAGGAAGGCAAAAAATGGAGGCAGGAGCTCAGCCCCCTCCTCCATTTTTTGCCTTTTTTTGCCCCAGGGGAGCCTTAGGGGAGCCAAAACGCCCCCCCCCACAGAGGCTCTTCTGAGGCTAGGAAGCTCCTACATATGGGTGGGGGCAGCAAAAAAGCAAAACAAAAAGCCTCACCCACCCAGTCATATGGCCATGCCCACCAAGCCACGCCCACAGAACCGGTAGTAAAAAAAATTTGAATCCCACCACTGCTATAGACCAGTTATACTTGAAGATCTGATACTGGCATTCTACAACTGTGTTGCTTATATCCATAGATTATATATGGACAACCTCAATGCAAATGATGGTTTCTTAATTGAAACTGTTATGTAAAAAGTTTTCATAGGTTATCTCTATTTTGCATGAGAAACCCTTATATGTATATCTTACTGATTTCCCTCCCTCCTTCTTTCCCCCTCCCTCCCTTCCTTTTTTTTCAAACTTCTGTGCCCTTCCTCCCTCCCTTTCTTTTTTCTTCTTCCTTCTTTCCTCCCTCCCCTCTTTCCCCCTCCCTCCCTTCTCCCTCCCTCCCTCCCTTCTTTTCTTCTTTTCTACTTTCCTTTCTTCTCTCCCTCCCCTCCTCCCTCCCTTTCTTTTTTCTTCCGTACTTGTCCTTCCTTCCTTCCTTCCTCCCATCCCTCTTTTCTTCTTCCTCCCTCCCTTCCTTCCTCCATACCGACAAAACTCTCCCCCCACCCTTTCTGCTCATTTTTATTTAGTAAACAAAGGGAGAACAAAAAAGATGGCCACAACCCTTTCATTGCAACCCTGCCTCTTTTTTAAAGGGGTATGTGATACTTGTGATACATACTTTAAGGCAGGGGTCCCCAACCACCGGTCCGCGGACCGGTACCTGTCCGTGGAACAAGTCCTACCGGGCTGCTGGTTTGCTGAGCGCCGCCATCCTTTTTTGATGAAAAAGTGCTTCCGGTGAGCTTTTCCGGGTAGAAAGCCATTTCTACCCGGAAAAGCTCACTGGAAGCGCTGGCGCCGCCATCTTTTTTTGATGAAAAAGTGCTTCCGGTGAGGTCACCAGAAGCACTTTTTCATCAAAAAAAGATGGCGGCGCCCAGCTGATGCCGGTACCGGGCCGCGGCATAAAAAAGGTTGGGGACCACTGCTTTAAGGGCTTCAAGCCACAGACTCATGGTTTTCCATCTTGCCCTTTTTGATCCTACCCCACAACCCCAATGCATTTACATTTATTTGATTTGTCAATGGCTTGCAAGATACAGGTATAAGAATAAATATAGTTTTGAATACATGAGATAGATACTTATAAGAAAAAAATAAAAGAAACAATAGGACAGGGATGGTAGGCACGATTGGTGCACTTATGCACGTCCCCTACAGACCTCTTAGGAAAGGGGTGAAGTCAATAGTAGACAGTCTAAGGTTAAAGTTTTTGGGGTTTGGGGAAGAAACCACAGAGTCAGGTAGAGTATTCCAGACATTGACCACTCTGTTGCCGAAGTCGTATTTCCTGCAATCAAGTTTGGTGCGGTTTACCTTGAGTTTGTATCTATTGTGTGCTCTTGTGTTGTTATGCTTGCAGCTGAAGGATTCATTGACAGGTAGGACATTGCAATGTATGATTTGATATACTATATTTAGATCGGACCGGAGGCGGCGTAGTTCTAGGCTCTCTCTCTCCCTCTCACTCTCTCTCATAGATGCTTACAGGCCCTCCACCCATGTTGTTCTTCCTCCCAGATAGCATGGTCTGAGCTGTCTCTTGAACCCTTGCATTCCTCATTGGGCTTGCAAAGGGGATTTTCGATGCCTTCAGCACTGCTCCCTCAGAGGGGAGATTTCCTGTCTTGCGCCTGGCTTGATTTTACCAGTCCTCTTGATACCCGGCATTTCAAGGCTGGGGCTTCAAATACGGAATTTCATTTCCCAATCGTCACCACCACCTCTGGAGTGACTTCAGAACAGTAGATCTTGCCCGTAAACAGCCGGCCGGGGCATTACATGCTAGGCTTTCACTTCCCCATTGCATGAGAATAATCTCAGGCTTTGTTGGTCAACAAGGCCACCTCCCTTTTTTTTCACTTGTATTGGCTGTACTTCCTACTTTTGGACCTAAACTTCCTTCAGTGTTTCATTTCAGAGACGTGCAAGGTTACATTAGGCACATTCAAGCAAAAAGAATTTCCCCTTGGCCTGAGTTCACTTTTTACAAAATTTTCTTAAGGAACAAGAGAAAAAGGAGACAACATTTAGAGAAGAAAGAAAGTAAAATAGTGAATAGATAAGGAAGAAAATATGTATTGATTTATTATTTCTATTTCTTGTTTCCAAGGTACCCCTTCTTTCTCTGGGTAGTGGAGAAGGAAAAGAAAAGAAAAAAACAGAAGAGAAACAAAAAAAATACTGTATAAAGAAATGGTTTCTTCCTAACAGTGGTTATAAATGGGATTTATTTTTCTCTCTCCCTCCCTCCCTCCGTCCCTCCCTCTCTCTCTGCCTCTCTCCCTCCCTCTCTCTCATTACACAATTTCCTTCATTTCCATAGCCTACCCTTTCTAATTGTGAGATTTATAAATTGTAAGTTCATGTTTTTTCTTTCTTCAGCAAACAGTCTATAAGGAATTTTCAATCACTAATAAATACGGTTATGGTCCCTTCCTTAATCAGACAAGTCAATTTTGCCATGCTTATTATCATCTTTGCCAGCCATTCTTCCTGGAGTTCAACATGATTATTCACAAGTGCATCAATAGGTATAGAAGTGCAACAGAAGAACCAAACTGATGTTTTAAGAGCTATCACTGGGTTTTACTATCCAGCATTAGAAATCAATTCGCTCTCATGGCCAAATGAGAGATGCTAAGGATAAAAATAAGCGGAAGGGTCTTTGTCAGACAAATGGTATAGGGTTTTCCTGCCTAGGCAGGGGGTTGGACTAGAAGACCTCCAAGGTCCCTTCAAACTATTCTATTCTATTCTATTCTATTCTATTCTATTCTATTCTATTCTATTCTATTCTATTCTATTCTATTCTATTCTATTCTATTCTATCAGCTCCTGTTGTCCCTTGAACCAAACTGATCTCAGTATGGACTTTTACTAGGTAATAATTCTGTAATAATATGTGGGGGAATGCCTTAGGAGTCAGAGTGAGGAGATGCGGCCTAGGGAATGGTCAGATAAGAGAGGGCATAGCCCATAGCTGTATAATGGGTAGAACAAGAGGCTCAGAAAGGACCCTCCCTAGTTTCTCAGGATGTAAAGGAGATGGCAGGATATTTATATTTTTAGACTTTTTTATTTTTAGATTCTAGGGAGGGTCTGTTCTGAACCTCTTGCTCTGCCTATTGTCCAGCTGAGGACCATGACCCCTCTTATCTGGCCATTCCCTGGGCAGCATCTCGTTCTGGAGTCTCACTGGCTCAAGGTTGACTCAGCCTTCCATTCTTCCGAGGCCAGTAAAATGAGAACCCAGATTGTTGGGGGTAATATACTGACTCTGAAAACCGCTTAGAGCAGGGGGTGAGCCGCACTGGTTTGTCCTGGTTCGGGTGAACCCATAGCTAATATTATGGCCGTTTTATGGCCATTCGGGTGAACTGGCAAATCTCACCCTTGGCTGGCCTCTCCCACCCCGCCCCTCCCAGGAGTCCTCACATGGCCCGTTTTTGATCCCAGTTAAGGACAGGGGGAGGGTGACTGGGGGAGGGTGAAAAACGGGCCTCCTGGAAGCTCCAGAAGGCTGGAAACAGGCCCATTTCCAGCCTCCAGAGGGCCTCCAGAGCCCAGGGAGGCCATTTTGCCTCCTGGAAGCTCGAGGAAAGCCTCCGGAGTACGGGGAGGGTGAAAACGTCCCCCCTCCAGCCGTGGTGCAGGAGGCCAACTAGGCCATGCCCACCATGGCTATGCCCACCCAGCAACCTAGCAGAGAACCAGTTGGTAAATTTTTTGAAGCCCATGCCTGGCTTAGAGAGGCTGTAAAGCACTATGAAGTGATATGTAAATCTAAGTGCTATTGCTATCTCTTTATCCCACCTCCAAAAGTTTTTCCTCAGTTCCATGACATACCCTTTTTTACTCTGGATTAGTGGTA